CGTCGCGAGCATGGAACGCGAAGTTCAACCGTTTCGGATGTAGATAATTACATTGCCAATGTTAGTTAGTCCGTAGAAAAGTGGATGAAAAACATTGAACAACCGGTTAATTAATTAGTTTCCTATTCATGCGAGCGAGGTTCGTTGTTAATTGAGGCCGAATCACACGATACACTAGCATTCATTGTCTAAAACAGATCGACGATAATCTATCATAGTTTGTCAGTGCGCAACTATGTTTTATTCACTCGAAGCTTAATTATAGAAAATCATACTTTAGATGCTTTTCTAAGATAAGCTCTAAGTAGATGATTTTAGAAAAAATACCCTGTGAAAGCCGTCGACTTTTTATTTTATAATTTGCTTCGTTATTACTATTTTTACCTTTTTCCGGTATTAGCAATTCAATATTTATGAATTAGTATCGTATTGTTAGAGTTCAGCTCTGATAAATTTTAATAATACTAATAAAAAGAACGATTTCTATCCAATGTTACGATGTACTAGTGTGACTTTATCATACTAATCTGCTACAGGAAAAGAAGTCCGAGAATATTGTTATGTTAATTACTTCAAATAAGACGATGCGTGTATATTCTAAGCGAATAAACATAGATATCTATCTGATTATAGAATTGAAGCTGCTACGGGAGCATGTAGCTGTTATACAAATTATTTTAATATGATTGATCTTAATCTGCCTGTAATTAACCTGATGTTTAGGAAAAGAAAAAAATGTGCCACATCAGAATTATTCGCACATGCTTTTCTCAAGACAAGGAATGTAAACGCGAGCGCAAGCTGGCGTGACGCCCGAGCAGGCGGTCTTATCATACGATCTATCAAATTGTGATGCTTTTTCTTTTGCAAACTATGTGCGAAAAGGATTAGGCGAGAATATTAGCACTCTGATAATTCTGTGAACTGTCTTGCCGCTGACTAATAGCTTAAGCTGCGGACCGCTACATGGTAACGGGCTCAAATAATTATCTTCGCTGACAGAATCAGCAGACCTGCTTTGACATATATGCAGGGCAGCCATATCACATTCATGCATGGTTAATGATAACACCCGACCGCAATATACTAGCGTGTTTCAGTAAACAGAATTTATAATATGATCTATATCAACTGACTGTTTGCGTAACAGATTGCTTGATTGTTTAAGATGACTGATTCTAAGTGGGAGCAAGCTCACATCGGGACTATGCAAAGCTGCAAAGACATTTATCGGAGAATTAAACATTAGCAAGAATGTCAAAATTATTACTGTGCACCCGTAACCTTATCGTAAATTTAATACTTTAATGATGTCTGCTAAAGGGCCGACTTTGATAAAAAAACCCGTGGTACCTGGACAAAAGCCATCGCTCGGCGTCACCCACGGTTAGTTAAGCGAGCGACATGTCATCGATATTTTTTGCCCGGCTGATGTCTTTAACGAAATTCATGTCATTGGGTCCGATTTCTCTAAGATTAACTTTTTTACATTATTTAACAAATAGATCGAACCCTTATACGCTCGAATATTCAGTTACATGGTTTAACACTTAAAAGGGCTTAACGACTCTAACATATCCTGCGGGTTACGATAAAAAAAGACGACAAAAAGAGAATACTTCTCGTGTTTGTTTTTTAAAAGATGTCTGCCGAAGATAAGGTGCAGCGGCACTTTAATCCTCCAACCGTCCGATATTTGAAAAGGATATGATGACAACTTTTTTGTATTCTTTATCTAATAAGCACACATAACCAATACTTACTTATTTCAAAGTTTGTCTAAATAGATAAATGAAAATTACGTGTTATACGTGAGTATTTAGTTACCTGTCATGTTTACGGACCGTTTAGAAACTGTCAAACTAGCGCTATACAATGCGCAAGACTTGTTCTATGCAAATATCTCAGTAAAATATCCTATGAGTCAATTTCAATTACACAAACCGTAACTCTTGGTGTTAACTTCTAACAGTGAAAAATGACGCTATTCTAATTTCATAAATTGTATTGTAATGTATACGTACAATGTAAAGGAAGACACACGCTTCTATAATTCATTTGTTTTATCAATTAACAACAGCTAGATAAGCTAGTAAAGTAACTAGTAGAGCTTGCAAACATTTTCCGGAATAACACACTTGTAACTTGAAAAAAATGATGTTTCGTGTTATAAACTAGCACTTCTTTCTCCTCTTTTTACTCCTGATGAGGCTATTCATATTCAATAGCAACTGTTACTGGGTTTTCTGCAAGCTTCAGACTAGATAATTTACTACAATGACGTGTCTTAAACCATTTAGTCTTCATCATCCTAACGTTTTCCCGGTTTGTTGCCTAACTCAACTTCAGTTAACGGAGCTTGTCAAGTGTTCATTATAATTAACAAGACCTCATCAAGCAAATTATTCAATATTAGAAACCACAAAATGTTTGCTTGTATTTTGTTTTATATGAAGCTTATAAATATTCTTCATACTGATATTTGAACACCAATCATGTAACTCAATAATGATGAAATATATATTATGACCAACCATCATAAACTCCACGTAATATATATTTTTTATCGTTTTGTAGACTTATTTTTATTTGATTACACTGTGATTGTTGACAGTAAATCGCTAAAAGTCAATTTTCAATTAGCATGGGTCACTTGTGTCCGGGATTGCTGTTCAACGTGTTAAAATAAACAATTCACCTTCAATGCCAATAATTAAAGTCAACAACTGATGTTTCACCCGTTGAAAATTATGATATTTCATGTGAAAAATATTAAACAATAACGCATACTAGGGTTACTCTTCACTATCTTTGCGTATTTTGGGTACGCGGATACTACGCGGCCTCTACGCCGTTACTACGTTCCGTCTACGCGGCTGCTACACTCCGTCTACGTGGATGCTACGCGGCTTCTGCGACGTTGCTACGCTGTGACTACGCAGCTACCACGCTTCTTCTACGTTATTCCTTACCCAATATTAAGGTGTATTGTTCGCAATAGTCGCAAAAAGTACATTTTAATAACCAAAATTCTTTTTTTATACATATATGGTATATGAAATTGTAAAAACAGAAAGTTATACAATCATAAAGACTTATAAATAGATGTGAACAAAACGTAAAAGATACCATTATGATTTATTTGGCTCTCTAATTACGACTGACGCAAAGAATGACAGCAACTGTTATTTTTTGTTTCGTTGTGATTTCATTGGTGACCTACTTTGTAAAATATCTCTGTACTTTTATTGCTAAATATACCTGACTATTTTAGCCTTGATAATAGACAATTAAATCATGATTTTAATACAAACGTACTTTGCCTGAATCAATCAATACAGGTCAATCAATTTATCTATTTGAATCAAGTGTATGCTCATTTTGGACTTAATTCCACATATTATTATGTTATTATATTATATTAATATTATTATGTAATACAATACCTCGGAAAAAGGCATCACACACATACATAGTAACCAACAAAAATATGAATTGTACTATGTATAATAAAGATATCTCTACGCAAATGAATTTGTTAACATTGCTGTAGGAAGATTTAGTGTTAACTGAACCTGTTCACAAATGTCGCCTGAACACATAAATTAAGCATGCAGTAGATGGTGTAATAATCATATTATGTCGTTTCTTCCACCAGACACTCGAATCATTTGAACGGAGTGAATCCCTTTTAAGCACCAACATCGCTCTCAGCCGCAGCCCCTCTATAGATCGATACCATCTCTATTACCATAGTCATTAGGTCGAATGAGCAAAGATACACGCGAACACCTACCAACTCTAAAACCTCCTATACATAAATACACCACGTTAGCGAGCAAGGATTAAATAACTATGCAGGGTATGTAATGTAGGTAATGCAGGGATTCGACGTTTAACGGCTTCGGGATTACCTCAATAATTCCCTCAACACAACAAATGTTTTTAGCCTGCCGTGAGGGGGTGAGTGTGGGCTCGGTGCGATAGGTTGTCGAAATGTTGGAATCTATAGCAACAGACGTGACAGTAGGTATATGTCGCGTGTTTAGGGCGACTGAAGCCATACTTCTGGCAGACGGGTCATAGCTCCAGCTTAATACGTCCACAGTCAACCGCGACGTGACTTTACTAGGCTTATGGCAACAGAACCGCCTCTTTACACAATTAAAGGTCAAGTCACACTGTTTCTAGACAAAATTGTAGAAATATAGCACAAAAGACACTGTACAGTGAGCATTAATTAATTTCTCGAAAAAAAACTGACATGTGATGTGTAAAAACGACATGTCTCGAATCCTAATCCCCATTGAAAATACAATGAATTTTGGACGGTTAAAACCATTTTTCATTCCAATGACAAATATTTAGAAAGTTATTTCGGAGCGAACCCGCGTGCGGGTCCACACTGAGCTCAATTAAAAGGACAATCTAAACTCACATTTCTGGCATTATAATCGGACAACAGCCGGATGTTTATTTTGCGACCGCGTTATCGATTCAGGTAGTTCGGCGAATAATAAATCTATAACAACAACAATGTGTCCGCCCAGCCCAATCCCATTGTGATTTATTCAAAATTATCAATCGCATCAAATTAGTATTACTCGCTCGAGAACATTAATATTTTTTTTATGTACAGGGCTCTCGCCGTTAATATTTGCGTACGGTCGCGGTTCGCACTCACGTAGGTCCTGACGACGGGACAGACACGCCCAAGGTTACTTTTGATGCTCACCCCTTTTCACACAATCGTTAAAGGCTCGTTTATTATCAATCAATTATTTTATATTATGCTAATTTTATTTTAGCTGTCCATTATGAACTTTTTGTCGATTTATGGTACATTAACCACGTGAGCATATCACAATTGCATTTTAATTTGTTCATAACGCTTTGCGACTGGCTAGCTGTGCGCACGGAGGCCTCCTATCTACACATCGTGTCTGCATAAGCGAATGAAAAACGCGCCATAAAGGCATTTCAAAATTTGCAACTTACAGAGCACCATCTCGACAGCCTCCAACAGTCCGCCGCCGGCGCAGGCGGGAATGAGCGCGGGCGCGGGCGGCGCGAGTGCCGCGGCCCGGCCCAGCTCACCTGCCGCCGCAGCCCCTCGCTGCTGCGACACTGGCCGCCCTATATTCCAGGATCCTATCACCGGACAAACAGTTTGCTCGTGTCAATACGAGTTTCTCAACTACCAGAGGCTCGCTTCCGGCGTGCCCCTGTCTATGTACAGTGCCCCTTACTCTGACGCAGCGGCGGCTACAGCTGCTGGTATGGCAGCGTATTTTCCTGCTTTAGCAGCTGATCAACCACCCTTTTATACAAATGCTGTAAGTATAAATCAGATATATATTATGTACATCTCAAAATTTCGACCAGAGTAGCAATAGGTATCAGAGTCTAAATAATGAACAATAACTTCCATTCTAATTACTACCACGTCTAGATAAATTTCAGGAAATAAATTTGTTACTGAACGAATATCAACCTTATTTTACAGGTACAATATAAGAGTACGTACGATTGTTTTCGCGCTGAACCGAATTGGCTTTATCTCTTAGTAGTATTAGTCTGTTTTTTATTTTTTGTTGAAAGCAATACAATTATATATTCATATACAATATATTCGTTTAGTAATAAAATAATAATTATTATGAACGGCGTATTATTAAAATATAGATATCAATCTCTATGTATCTATTAAAATTTTAAATGCTTAATTAACGTGGACAAAGAGTTAAAAACAAGCACGTAAAGAGCGCTTGAAACAAAAGCTTAAATAATATCCAACAGTATCACTCATTAGTATAATAATTAAACAATGTTGAGATTGATAATGTTATTTGACCAAGTTTAGAATACAACGGAGCCAATCCCTGCGGTTGACATGATAATCAGACACTAGTGTTGCAACAAACATGAATTAAGGATATCGGATTGAATTGCAAATAAAAACGAACATTAAATTAATTCTGCGCTTTTTGTAGTGTTGAATATCGGTCACTTAATGTTCCTCGTCTCTTAATTTCCATCGCATTAGAAATCACTTTTTTCATCAGCCTGTCGATACTTAAATCGAATGGATTTATGTACATAAGTATTTCGTTTGGCTTAATCAAAAACGTATAAACAAAACTCCTTGTAAAGAAGAATTAATCTTGTGCCTGTTTTCCTTGTTCATAAGAGATATAACAGTTACACATAAGAGGTACAGATCAACGACTAAGATTTTAAAATGTTGCCGAACTTTTTTAGTACGGGCATGTAGGCAAACTGAAGATTGTGCATGTATGTTAATACTTGACCTGATAGACAATGGTCTAATCGTTTACTTAATAAGTAAGTAGGAGGACTATTACCGAGTAAAGAATGAGTCACTTATTCATTTATAGTAAAATTTACTACTGCTAGGCTTCATGAGTGGTCGGTGTTTATGTGACTGTGACCAAGCCACACCGAGTACCACATAGGTACTTACAAAACGAGTTTACTTGACAAGTTTCTGTCCTATCTGATACCAAGTAATTTAATATTTTATTGTTTCACTAACATCGACGTGGTATCGGTTTTATTAATTTGCAACAAAGACGTAACATGTATGTCAGTTGTCAGCTAATACTTTAATATTTAAATTACAATGAATTTTTACTTGTATTTAATATGTAAGTACAATCGAAAATATGCTGAATACTAAAAATAAAATTTAACCTTTGTTTTACATTAATAGTATTGTTGTATTTCAATCTAGGTCATGAACTATTCATATTAGATGGAATTTCATTGAAACTTGTTTGGTAAATTTGGCATGACTGAAGTATTAAGTACAGGTATCATTTATTATGTTAGATTTATAATATAAATATGGTAGGGATGAAGACGATTGCAGTACAATGATAAAAGCTTTCAACAGACACAGTTCACAAATGCACCCGAGCACAAAAACTCGTGGCTATTTAGCAGGTGTGCAAGTACCTGTCTATTTTTTTGAATTCCTAAGTACTTAGTACTTATGTTAACTATCTAAAACAATACTCATATTCTGTACCTCTTGTACACTGTCACAAACATAATTAACGCTTCCAACACAGTTGCTTATCTTTTTGTCCAAACTAATCTTATTAAATTATGACTTAAATTAATTACGTCGACAAAAGCTTAAAACCCATCGCAGCTTGGAAACCAAAACCATCCAAACCAAAGGGATTATGTTCCCTATCTACATCTATGGACGAAGCGCTTTAATTCCATTTTTCCCCCACTTCCGACTACAAAGAGTATTACGTTAAAATAATTAGGATACGTTGTCAAAATATTACGTTAGAGAAGTAGTTATAAGACTCTCGCGCAGTGTTAAGTAGGCACCACAATAAGGTTTACGATATAAGTAATAAATACATATAAATTTGAATCGTAATCCGTTGATGTATGTTCTTTTGTCCATCGACCCAAAAAAGTTGTATCGAACCAGGCAGCTTTAATAACTTAATATGTTTAACAATTTCTTTCTGAGGATTAAAATATGTGTCCAGAGGTCCATATTGCATTTATACGAGATTATAAAATAATAATTTACCAATATCGCAACAGGTCAATCTAATTTCGTGAAACTTTATTATTTTGAAAACGTGTACACTATTAGTACTGGACATCACACGTACAAATTAACTTCAATGGTCTAAAATAATACTCAAACGTAATCATAAAAGTCCTCCTTGTGTTAGATTGTACCCCTCGAGACGTGTGTGGGTAGTGACTTTGAATGATAATGATCATAACAACATAAAAGTAGCCACGCTACGTAATATATGACGTGTAGTAAAACTTTTGGAGGAAGGTGTTAAAAGCCGTGAACGTGTCCCGGCAGATGATTCAATCATTCATGAAGATATGATCGTACATCATCAGTGGCGAAAGTGTTAACTCTGGCCGACGCCTTCAATGGGATCCTGCCTCACGTCGTTTTTTTAGTTAACGCCTTTTATTTTGTCTATAATTTATTATTTCATCCCGGCTCGTAGGGTATCCGTGCACTGTACACTTTTTTACTTCTTTGTTTGGTCTTTTAGCTGTCGGATTATAACGTGTTTGTTTACACTTCAAAACTTAAATGTAATGCTCTCTGTAAACAGAAATACGTTTATGAGACAAACGGAATATTTGAAGTGTCAAAATATTTAATAGCTCACGCGGTCTAATCGCTTCCATTTGCACACGTGTGGCTATGGTGACGGGAAGCCAGCGTTATTTTATGAAAAAAATAATTTATAGTTCCGAAGAAGTATCCTAAAATAAATCATCGATCTTTGCTACTGCTTTTAGTAGTAGATTTGTGGTTAATGGCCGCTGTAATTTATGATAATTATAACATGTATAGTATTGTAATCAATAGACACAAAGATTTATTCAGAAGTTTGTAAGTAAACATCAATAATTTTAACATAAATTATAGCTTTACTGGCTGTGGTTAAAAACAAAGAAAGATTTTTTATTTGTCTTTGATAGAATGTGCTTATAGACATGGTGAATATAACATAAAAACTAGATTTTTAGACGTTAAAAACAGTTTTCGTAAAATGTAGGTAAATCGGTTTATAAATTAAGTATGTGAGCACTGAACACACTGCAGCAGCAACCTTGTCCATGCTATTAAAATGGTCGAGCACTTTATAAGTAAAACATAATACTGTCTTCAACATTTATCATATTTTTATTGTAAAAATAAAGTAACTAATCATTTTTAAAAATCCGTCCAAAGTATTGTATCTACTTAGTACCTTTGTGGACTCGACGACATTTGAACGCTACCTGAGCTTGCGTGTCAACCACATCGCTCACCGGATTAACTTATACCTTCCATAAAAGTATATACCTACTGGCTAGTTCAACACACTAATGTTAATGGGATTATAGCTAGGTTCCATTAAACTCATAATGTTGATACCAATAAAGATCACGGGCAAGTTTTTTGTGCTCAAATAATTGTTTCGTTAAGACCAACACATCTATCAATCATTCCTTAACCGTATAAGTACGATGGCGATCAATTTATCTCTAAGTCAGCCAAATATTTTAGAAGAATTAGATATTACAACAGTGTCTATAACTGTATCTTTACCAGCCGAGCACTTAACAAAACATAAGCGGTGCATTTTAAAACTAGTTAAATTATTAATTTAAAGCTCAAACATAGATTCACGTAGCGCAATTGGCATTTTAGCTGTCAAACGCCTACGATGGATGGGATCAGCCGATTAAGTAAATATTGCAGCAGCAAAGTCGGCACAATAAATCCACAGAGCCACAGATTCGCGTTACGGCGTAGTCCGATTATTATTTGAAGTAACAGAAAACTGGAATTATATCACAAAGGTCGCAGCAACAAAGACCGACAGCGCGACTGGATTACGCTGTCGTACTTGAGTAAAATTTATTATCGGATTTTCGATTCGGCCACCAATGAAGTTGTTGGACAACAAAATCTTTTGATAGATTTATCCTGGCTGACCGCATTAAGACTCGCTCCTGAGTTATTTTTAATGTGTCGCTATAAATTTTTGGACCCTTAGTGACAGCCATGCTTTTTACGCGATCTCCGGCGCACAACCTTAATAACAAATTAATCATAATTTTAAAACTGCTGTTTATTTAATGTTGGACTTTCTTAAATAAAGTTATCTCAAGTTTTTAAGCATTTCATATTTGTTTATTTGTAAAACGTAAAAGCTTAACAATTAAAACAACAAAAAATGTGGATGGAAAGATGATGGATGCACACGTCTCGTATCTTTACCCATTAAGTAATAATAGTTAAGACCAAAACTCAGAAGCGATCGATCAAGAAATCAATCCGACGAGGATCATTTTAGTAATGGATTGCTTTAAAGCTACCGGAAATATGGAAGGAGATATTATAATAAAATTACAGTTAGACGGTTAATAAAAAGTATAGCGGTGACAAATAGCAGACATTAATACAAATAATGAGTAATCGTAAATACAATAGAAAAATGTTTAAAGGTCAAACGTTACAAAGAGTAGTAGTTGAGCAACTCAGATACACATAAATCTTACACCTCTACGAAATTAGTTACTCTAATACTAAAAACATGACTTTCTATCACAAATAGTTTGGAAATATAAACTTCTAGTCAATCTATTTTATGTGGCAGAGCCAAATTTGGTACGTATGAGTGGAGTGGATATACAACCTCACATAATTCGAGTCTTGGTCCAATTTTCCCTTTTCCCCCATTCTTAAAAAACCGCCATTTCACTTGGAACTTATTTTGTATCTTTCTGGTTTCATGTAACTTGATTGCTTACCATTGCTTGATCATGCTGATCCACTTACTAGTTTACTGTTCTATGTTAAAAAAGCTTCTCAAAACAAAATAATTGTTGTTTGGTAATTTACAATGGTCAAACAACGCGACGCGGACAGTAGGCCGCGTCACTCGTTCACAGATTGCATGCATTCGTCAAATGATGCATCGTAGGCAAAGTATTGATTATTTCTACGCAAGAGGCTAGCATTCGTCTTATAATCGGCAGGCAATTATAAATTGACGAACGTATTACTAGCTGTTACGTGGACACCAACCTTTAGAGCCCACTTAACAGACACTGCCGCTCTTTGATTGACATAAAAATTTTAAACTGCGGTTTTTAAGAGCAAACTCTCCTGTGGAGGAGGCACATAGTCGTGCAGTGGGTTGTTACGGTCTGTTGATATGCATAAACAAGTGAATCTAAAATTATTGAAAATGTTAAATTAATTATTTATTATTACTGTAGAAGAATGGATTTAATGGAAGTTTTTGTTCGTATTCTCTAGTTTCATAATTATAACTTTAGACTTCATACCTACCTATTGCTGCGTTCAAAAAAATGAAGTAAATACGTTAAAAAAAATTGAAGTAAAGAAAGTTTTAGTATTACATATCACCAAATTCAAAGAGTATCTATTACCTGAAATACCTATATTTATAAAGGTGGTACGAAGCAAAAGACCACTAACAAAATAAATTACAACTGTATGTGCTAATAATCTATTTTGTATCCCTTATTCTTAGGCTGCAGGAATTGAACTCAAAGAAAACCTTGCCGCGAGTGCAGCTACTTGGCCATACCCGACTGTTTATCACCCCTATGATGCAGCCTTCGCCGGATATCCCTTCAACGGGTGAGTAACACTGAATTTTTTTATCTGAATTCTTTTCTGTCGCCAAGTGATTTTCACGACGAGTGATTCCCAGGTTGTCTTACTAAAATCATTATTTAATCATATTTTTTCTCAAAACTAGAAAGTAGTAGAAAGCTAATCCGATAAAACTGACATTGAAAACACAGTCGGCTAAACTCTGATAACATTTGCCCACTAAACTCGCATGCATCTATAATTCAGGTGTGTCTCTATTCATCCTGATTTACAATTCCCGTTGACAGAGCTGGGCTGCTCTGTGTCTGGCATAATTAATTTTTGAGTAACTGGCGCAGCGAGCCAATACCAGACAATGGCTGGCCCTCGGCAATTTACAGATAAGTCCCTAACGGCGCAATATCGACAGAGTAGACGTGCAAATCTCTAAAAAAAGGGTAAATCCGACGTAAAGGCTAAAATGGCTGCTATGCCCAAACTACCTACTGTCACTCTGCATTTCCTGGTTCCTGCCTATGCTACTGATGCTCTTTTTTCGCCAGCGTCCCGTTAAAAGCAAGCCTCTAAACGTTTATCGAGGAACACCATGACAGCTTTGTGGCTGCTATTGCTTTTACTATTTGATAGACTGACTTTAGTCACTTCACAAAGCGATTTGATAAGGCACTTTAATTAAACTAGATTATGTATGCCTAGTATGCTTACAACAAGTCAATTAGTTCCTCCTTGTTTCTACTTATTAAATCGAAAGTAATTTTCGTAACCGGTAATACGTCAAATACTTAATTACTGTCTTATTAAAATGAACCGTTAATTTCAAAGGTGAAACAGCGTGTTATCATCGGTGTCACGCAATGGAGGGATAAAGATTAAGGTTCTTATGTTTCGAATTAATTAAGTGGAAGTTAAATACCAATATGTAAGTGTTTTGAGACACAAAACGAACATTTTCATTGGTTTATTCTAGACCACGTAGCGTAGCAACATTGTTACTGGAGTGTCAGGCGTGTGGTTTTTTAGTTGTTGTGGTTACAAAGTAAGAAAGTAACAGAACCTTATATAGCTCATACAAAAACTACTTTGTCGGTACGTAACCAAATACTTGAGCAGAGGGGTAGGTGTAGAATATCGATGTGTACGCCCCGCGGGTAAGCTAACGGTTGTACGCGCACATACATACACGATAAATCTCATTTAGTTTACTGCACTTCAGCCTGTCATTGAGGCCTACTTGTACTAATATTAAGGTTTCTTTCACACGTATTTAATAAATATGATTTGTTTACTACATAAATATAAATAACCAATAATATCGTACTACTAACGACCTCTCGATTGCACAGTATTCCAACATAGCTAGGGGACGTTATATTCCCATAAAATGTTTTTCTATCACCATAAATACATATTTAACGCATTTCCGTATGGTAGGTAATCAAAATCCGTTTAACCCCTTAACAGCTTACATTAGCAGATATCATTTTTTTAAATAAGTAGGCAATTCTTGTGGAAACCTTTTGATGTATGTATATTATCGTAATCACCACAAACGTACCGATGTAGATAGGATTTGATACAGTCAACACGCTTATGTAAACTGATAGCGGCAAACTGAAAAGGTTACAAAACATGAGTTTATTAGATAATTATGAATGTTGAATCAGATTATCGAAACTGTGTCCATGTGCGGGCGTACGGTGTGTACACAAAAGCAGGCCTTTAAGTGCGCAATTGATGCCGACCCATATTTAAAAAATACGTCCATTTTGACTATTGATCGGCGTTGTGACTGAGATTTGCTTTGATATTGGTAACACTAAGGATGCCTCCTTTTTAATGCAACGTTAATTACTGCAGCATTTATTGTTTTGCAAGTCCAAAATTCAACATTTGTCGATATTTTTATGTGTATATAAAATCAGTAAACTAAATGTTAGACTAAATGAAAGTAAAATTATATTTATTTAAAAACTAGCTTCTGCCCGCGACTTCGTACGCGCAATCCCATTTTCCCCCCGTACCCGTTCGTGATTTTCGGTAAAATGTAAAAAAAGTATTCTATAAAAAGTATCCCATGTCCGTCTCCTGGTTATAAGCTACCTCCCTGCTAATTTTCATCTAAATCGATTGAGGCGTTCTTGAGTTATAAATAGTGTAACTAACTTTCTTTTATATATATATAGAAGATATTTCTGAATTGATTGATCTGATGCTAAAGCTAAATATTTATCTCATTAATATCGATATTTAGTGATATCACGTTTTAGTTTAAAAGCGCTGTAAAACTGCTAAGCTTTCTTAACTTAGCCAGAACTTATTACTAATTTTAAAGATAATATTACTTTCTTTTGAAACAGTTCTTGACTTAACTGCATATTATGGATTCTCTTTCTGTTCAGATGACAGCAATAAAAGCAATTTGTAGTGAATTATAATGTCGCTAGCTGTTACCCGCGACTTCGTTCGCGTGAAATTATTCATATTTCTTGTTAATTTATCTATACTTTTTTGACGCGACAACGTGTTAATTGGCGAGGCGTATTTGAGAGCTAGTATGAAACGTAACGTCTATTGTCTACTCGATGGCGACTGCGGTTTGTCTGTCAGTCTCATTAAATTGAATTAATAAAACGAAATAATCTCCGTTATCCGAATTTTGCGGATATATGTATGTTGTCGACTCGAAATCGATATTTTTTATGTTTTGTTATTCAGGTAATGTTTCGATCGAGTCTACCGTACTCCTTGACGAAATTATTAATATAGATTCATATAGTCATTATAAAACTAAATAGTTGAAGAATGTGTAAATTGTGGATCGCGTAGGAGTTCCGCCTTTATGCTGCTTGCAAAGCGTAACCCGCACTGCCCATATGGTTTGACGTCCATCATGAACTCCATAAAGATAATTGTTTAATTCAATTGTCGTAATTGGTTCAGATCGTTTCACTCGGTAAAATAAACAAACAAACAAATGCAAGGGTTCCATAAAAACGTAGAAGTCTTTACAAATTATTAGTCCATTTATTACGCATACCACGTAGTCTATGATGCATTCGACGATATTGCAATAATATAATTATTCCACGCGGCTTTGGTAAATAAAATTAACTTTAAGTTAACCGGCTCAGTAACTTTTACTTATCACATTACCTGTATTTCCTCTAAGTAATATTAAAGTTTCGTAGTCAGTGGATCATGTAGCTTTTCTAGACAACGTCATTTTAGATGCTAAAATTATGAGGAAATTGACTTTTAATAATTTTGAAAGTAAGCGTACTCACCAAACATATATATATTTGCGAAAAATTAGGATAATGATAACTTTTCTACACAAATTCAATTAATTGCGTAAATTCTCAATTATTCAAGATTTTTTTTTCAATTAAACGTGTCAACAACATGCTTTCCTATTTGTAAAAGAGACGTCTGCACAAATAATTAATAAGCAAATGAAGAGTGTTTCATTAAACAAATAGTAAAAAGCAGGAAATCTGTATTATGCAGAAAAACTTGCTTTACAGTTTTTGTTACAGAAACACTTCATTAGTTTCACGCCTTGGTACTTTACAAGATTTTTTCAATGATAACGTCGGCATACCTATTGATCGTATAACAAGAATACGAAAGTTAATACAATCATGGCATCGTTCTCATGAACGGTTTTTGCTGCATGCTCATCGCGCCACGTCAGTAATTATAATTAGCAATGGTTTCATGTCAATGTGAGGAGGAAACATGGTTTTTACGTCACATTTATAACACATAAACTAGCCATAAACGATATCTAAGCTGTAATTAATCGACAGGTGAGCATTGTGCATAAAAATCGCATCAATTTACGGTAAACATGAGGGTTAAATATTCACCATATCTATTCCTAACAGCTAATACTTATTAATGTACGAGTATTTATCCTTTAACATGAACTTTCATTATTTCTTATACCTATAACACATAAACATACCTAAAATAAGCCGAAAACTACCTCTAGAAAATTATTTCCCTCATTCAATGACATAACATGCGCCAGACGCTCCGGAAATACTTAATATTCGTGTTCTATGATCACAATTTATTTGAACACCGAAGCAATGGATCTTGAGGTTACCTGCATTTAAGTTAATTTTGAGTATCAGGTTTAAAAAATTTACTTCTAAAAAGACAATAGAAATATCAATAGGTATAAATCGACTACTTAGTGGTCTAACATACGTCGATGAAAATACATATTTTTTATGTCATAAGCCGGTAAACGAGCAGACGGATCACCTGATGGTAAGCAATCGGCGTCGCCCATGGGCACCTGGAACACCGGAGGCGTTACAAGTGCTTTACCGGCTTTTTGGGGATTAGGAGTTTGAGGATCGTTGGGGATTCAGGGATTGGGGAGATTGGGGAAGGGGAGGGTAATTGGGCCTCCGGTAACCTCACTCACACGACGAGACACAACGCAAGCGTTGCTTCACGTCGGTTTTCTGTGAGGCCGTAGTATCACTCCGGTCGAGCCGGCCCATTCGTGCCGAAGCATGGCTCTCCCACACTTAAAAATTCTATGAAGAATAAAAAATATTATGAAAAGATATTCGATGTCGAAATTCTCAGTAATGGTATTAATCTTGAATTAACTTTATAAATATTACATACTTCCTATTACAACGGGATACTAATAGAATCGTGAGATACGAGTGTATGAAGCCTTTTAGGAATTAATAGTGTGAGTCTAATGTCATCGTTAACCTGATAGGAAACAAAAACATACTGCGGATATAAGTTAATTAGCAACTTAGAATCGTTAATAGATTGCAGGCGGTGTTAACTAAATGTAGAGAGAATACTTTGATTTATACGTTTTTAATTGCACCGCTGTGCAGTGATGCCGCGCTAACTTCGCCGAATGAATATAGATTACGCGATTGAAACTAACTTGAGACGTTCTTCTACCTCAACGAAACCCCTCGTTAATTTGAATTAGTAATTTAAAAACATTTTGTATCCTTTATTAGTGTGTATGCCGTTCTATT